ATTTTTTTTATCGATTGAAATGATAAGATGGGATTTATTCGACTCTCATTTGACTTGTCTCTTTATCTTTATCTATAAGCAAGGATTCAAGAATCCCTTAATCCAAATTAAGGAACTATTTATATATTGTTGAATCAAACTAAGGGCTTGTTTGTTTTTTGAAAAAAACCACTTAATGCCTCTTAAGTCTGAACCGGTCAGACGTTTTTATTTTCAGACCGTTTGTTTTTTTTATATAAATAAAAGCTGAAAAACTCTTAATTTGCTCTGAAAAAAAGTGATAACATAATCACTTAAATTCTCTTAATCGCTCCTTCCAGACTCTCCCCTCCATCCTCACCTCCAGATTTAGTCCTCCAAATCTATCTCGCAAGACATTCGATCTCCAAATCAATCACGACCCAGATCGATCCACATATTCTCGATCTCCAAGGTATGTCGATCTCAGTCTGACTGATTCAGATTTCAGACTTCAGACGTAAAAACAAACAATCTGACTGATTCAAATTTCATATTTCAGTACCACCTTTTAAAATTCAGAAGTGAAATCAGACTTCAGAACCTCTTAAAAAACAAACGACATCTAAGAAATCTGAATCTTTGATAATTTTGTCATCATCCAATTGTTCTTGAATAGGCCCATTCAACGATGTAAAATCTCCCAATGGGATAAAAGAATCAATCAAAAAGGACCCCCTAATTCCAACTCTTAAAATCTCTAAAAAATTGTATCCAACTCCAACGATCACTATATTTTAACGATTCTAACATTAATTATATCATAAATATATGTAATACTCCAACAACTTTTTAAACAATAAAACAAGCTTTTAAATTTCATATGAGATGATGATTTCCAATTTTTTTTATAAAATAATAATTTTCAACATTTTTTTTATTAACATGGATATCCAACCCGCTATGCAAGCCGACTAATCCTAGGACGACCACATGCTTTGCAGATAGTCTGAAGTCACCGCATTTGAACCTTCGTGGCCACAAAAGGATTTTTATTCCTCCTTAGATTTGAACCTGGGACCTCCTGGTATTTTTGACATTTGGAGCCAAACTCAAACCAATCAGGTACCACCTTTGTGGTTAATAAAATAATAATTTTCAACAATTTTTTTTATCTATACTATATTATAAAGCATTTGAGAAAAACTCTTAAAAATCATTTTTTATGCATCAAGTACTGTTTATTGATGCATATTACTTAAAATTCAATATTATAAATAATTTTGCGTAAGTACAACTTATTAAAACTCTATTTTTAAATTCGTGTAATTAACTGCAGATAAACATAATCAAATACATGATAAAGATCCATTTTAAATATAGAAAATCAAAATTATAATTAAGATAATCATTAAGTTTTAACAGAACGTTTAATTATTATTTTTATAAAAAAATTATATTATTAAATTGAAATAAATTATTTTATTATTAAATCTAAATTAAATTATAATAAAAAACTGAATTAAAGAAGTTACACTAAAAAACGAGAACTATTAAATAGTTAATTTGATACTAATATTGATTTATTCTTTTTCAAGTTTTTATGTTATCTTCAAATTTATATTTCATTTAAAAATAAAAACTATCATTTTCTCAAAATCACAAAAAATCGTATTATATCGATAGAGACAAAAAATAAAAACTAAACATTAAAATCGAGATTTATTTCGCTACATTGCGCGAGTACCCTTCTATATAAAATAATATGTTCCAAAATTGTTTAGAAAATTATAAACATTTATGTTTTAGTGGAAGAAATACCAAAACAATAGATTTTTACAGTCTTTTTCTTTTCTCTATTTTAACATATAAAATGACATAGTTGTTAAAGCAAAAAATTACTAAAACCATTAGTTTATCCTCAAAATGAATTGATGGTAAACATTTTTAACCCGGTAAACGCTTACCGGGTAAAAGTCATCACCCTCACTTACTGCGTAAGACTCCCGATTCTTGTCTTCCCTCTTACCGGGCAAGACTCTCGGTCCTTGTTATGTTCACCGGTAAGCACTTACTAAGGTAAGTGTTTAGTAAACGGCCCCTAAGGATGGTAGTGCGGGTTAAATTAGATGCAAATGTTACATTTTGTCTTTCTAAAACCAAATTATAAATTCCGTTTATTTATCACGAAATATGTTTCAAAAACTTTACATGCAAGGAATGATCAGATCCCTCGATTGTGGAATTTGATAGAATCTAATCAAATCATTCCCCAAACCAGACGTCATCAAGAATTTGGTCGATGAAATTTGTCATTTCAATTCAACCAAATTTTTTTGAAGTCTACGAACCAAATAACCTTTTAAGCATTTCTATTTAAATCGACTATGTGTCACGATTGTCATCGGACCCATAAAGAATTTAACATCTAACGGTTATCAATGAAGTCGGTCGGGCCCATAAAAACTTCAATTTTCCATTGAAGACCCGCAAAAGGTGGTCCTTGGGCCAGACCCAAAGACTTGTGGTTGGTTAGGTTTTGTAAAAGAGCGAAGATTAAATGCACACCTACTACTTGTTATGTCATCCTTATATACATCAATATCAAGTAATACTTACTGCATCATGATTTAACCTGATTTTGAACCTAAAACCCTAGGTCAAGTGAGGTCAAATGGTCAACCATGCTAGCATTAGTACCAACTTCTTGATGGCCATTAAAATTAAATAATAAACACAACACAGTTTAATCAAATTCTGTGTGCTTTGACCACATGTTAAACAAATATATATAGATGCATAGGTGTTGGGTGTCAATTACAACACACAACCCCCCCCCCCCCCCCCCCCCAAAAAAAAAAAAAAACACACACACATATATATATATATATATGTGTGCATAATCAAATCAGAACCGATTAGTTTGTAGTAATTGTGATGTCCAATATAGAGCATGTAACAATGTCGTTCAAAGATGTAACACAGTGGTATCACAATGCATCTTATATGTATTTGAATGTCACACCGAGGATTAGTTCTTGCTTTTCCAATCCCATCTTCTTTTTTACGCTATTAACTCCAACTTCAGTACTTTCGTATGCACATATTTCTTCCGGCCCCTTGTATCAATCGGTATTTTGTCATTGTTGAACATTCTGCATGATATGGGAACCCCTCGACTTGAGCTAATATGCTTGATTTTAGCTCACTTGGCACTGGAATTTTGAGTAGTGCTTATGACGGGAGATTGTATACGTGTATGCATCACCCGGAAACTGTAAATAGGCCTGTGGCAGGTATCGGAAATGATTCTCTCATGTAAATCTTTTTAAACCTCAACGACTTTCCTAACAAACATCAACATCGAGCAAATAAAAAGAAAGCGTTCCATTTTCTTTGGTATTCAGATTCATCGATATCGATCAAGGTCAAAAACTTCATTTGTGGAGGAGTGATTATGTTGAATCGAGTCTTCCTTCTCAAATCTCTTCCATATGCTCATGTGGTTTTACTAATGGTGGTGCGACTTCACCATCTTGGATTGCAGTTGGACTAAGTTCTGGTCGCTCCAGGTTGCTAGATATGAGGAGTGGAAACTTAATTCGTTTATGTGGTTGATCGAAGACGTAACACAATAGTATCACAATGCATCTTATATGTGTTTGGATATTACACTGAGAGTCGTATGTGGGGTCGATCGGAGATGTAACACAGTGTTATCACAATGCATCTTATATGTGCTTTGGTATCAGACTTAGGGTGGTTTGTGTCTATCTTCTTTTTAACAGAATCAATATTTTTGGATATCACAATGGTATCACCAGAGGACATAGAGGAGTTTTAAAATACTTAAAATGTCCTTTCATTAAAAATTGTAATTCAAAATTACCAAAATCATAAATTTCATAATTTATCTATTGATTTATGATTGAGATTGGATCTCACGATTACTACAAACTAATCAGTTCTCCCTTGAATGGACCCCTCTATATATATATATATATATATATAKAGAGAGAGAGAGAGAGAGAGAGAGAGAGGAGTGATCATATGAAAACCATCTTCATTTGTGTAAACCGTGTAAACCACCTTCATCTGTCGATTTTATTGTTTAATCTTATGAAATTTTTTCATGAAATTGTTTAATCTTGTGAAATTGTTTCATATAATACTTTTTTTGATGAAATTGTTTCATATAAT